GCCACAGAGCCCAGACCCTGTCCCACCTCTGTCCCCCGGCCTGGCAGAGCTCTGAGAGAGCACACCAAACCTGCCACGGGCAGCCAGTGCTGCACCAAAGGCAGCCAAACCTCAGCCACAAGCTCCTGGTGACACCATGTCCAGCTCAGTGCCACTCCGGCCATGGGCAGCCTCGGGCACGTGCCCCGGGCAGGGAGTGACCTCCAGAGCTGGCCAGTGCTGGCCGGGAGAGGCGGTGCCAGCCCCTGGGCCATCCCTGCTGGAACAGCTCCTTGTGGGTTTACGGGAAGGAGCCTCCAAATAGCCCAGCTCTAGAAACGGCAGGGCCATAAAAATGGTTTCATGGCTCATAAAACGAGGGGACTTTAACCCCCCTGGCACACGGGGCAGGAGGGAATGGCCCCGGCCTTGGGGTCATTTCTCCAGCGCTGGTGGGGCCAGCTGGTGCCAGACAGGGAGGGGCAGCATAGGTGGGTCCCCCATGACACAGCGGCTGTCACCACACCTCAGATGCCATCCCTGGCTCCAGAACCAGTGACACACGTGTCACCTGCGGACGTGCGTGGAGCCGGCAGCGCATCCTGTGTCACTATTTGCCAAGGCACAGCCACGGCTTTGCTGTCAGCTGTCACCGCTCCTGGCTGGGCTCCTGTGAGCTCCGGCAGGTCAGGGTGTGTCACCGCTCCTGGGCACTCGGGGGGCATTCAGCAATGCCGGGGTGATGGCAAGGACAGCCCAGAGCCTGGGAGCCCCGGCAAACACAGCTCAGGGTGAGGCTCCCCGGACGGAGGAGGTGCCCGGTGTTCCCGGCATCCGGAGCATCCTGGCTCACCCCCGAGAATGAGAGCGCTCTGTGCGCCTCCCTCCTGCAGCGACAGCGCCGACTGAGCTTCCCCCGCTCCCCTCCAGCCCTCCCGGGATGCTCCATCCTCCCACAAACCGAGTCCCTGCCAGGAGCTCTTTAAACCTTTCCYGGGGCAGCAGCGCGTGGCTCTCATTAGCTGGGACATGGTGGCCAGCCCCGGGCGATGCCACACGGCTGGAAATGCTGCCCAGCCCTGTGCCCAACCCCGCTGGCTCTGCCCGCCTCAATTTCCCCGGCTGTGATTCACTCAGCGCTCTTTTATTGCCCGCAGTGACCTGGGTAATGAAAACCATCTGTCCACGCCTCTTACCATGTTTGGGGGGGACCAAGTCCCGGCTCGAAGGGGACCCCCTCACCGGGGAGCGCTGGTGGCCGGCTCAGGAGGGGAGAAAGGGACAGGGACACCAGCTGGGCTCTTATCAGGGCTCCCGGCCGSCTCCACGCGAGCGGAACGGCCCCTCCCAAAGCTGCGCCCAAAACATTCTACCTCCCTGAGCTGCGTCTGGTGCTGCGGGACTGCGGGGATTTGGGGGTCCCGGGCTTGTTCCCCCCATGCTGGGCTGCCCCGGCCCAGCCGAGCACCGCGGGAGGCGCTGGGCAGAGCAGCACCCACCCATCTGGCCCGGGACCCCCACCACAAGGAGACACCTGAGGGGCTTTGCAGGGTCCCCGCAGCTCGGGGGTTCGGCACGGGGTTGTGGAGCTGCATTGGACCCACCCTGAGCCCACTCTGAGCCCACCCTGAGCCCACCCTGAGCCCACTCTGAGTCCACCCTGAGCCCACTCGTGCCCACTCTGAGCTCACCCTGAGCCCACCCTGAGCCCCCAGACCGACTGATGCCCACACTCGTGTCCCTTTGCTGCCCACCCCAATCGCTCCAGCCCTCACTGCCGCCATCCCTGCGCGGGCACCGCTCCCTCCAAGGCCCGGGGGACACAACATCCCCCCAGCTCCCGGYGACCACGCTGCACTTACTGTCCAGGGAGCTGTCAGGGCAGGGGTCCCCATGCTCCGGGGAGGCCACACGGGGCACCCAGCCGAGCTGCGTGTGCCGGGGCGGGGCCGGGGTGACAGCGTGGGGTGTGGGGGGTGCGGGCGGCGCGGCTGCGGGGCGCTGATAAGCTCAGCAGCGAGGAGCTGTGGGGAATTCTGAGAACCGCGGGTGGCTCGGTGCCCTGTCCCCAAATTCCTGCTCTGCCGTCACCCTGCTGCAGCGGCTCCCATGCCCAGGGGGCTGCTTTTGGCCCCGATCTGTGGCGCTCACTGATGCCCAAACGCACACCGGTGCCAGCGCGCCCATGTGCCCGTGCCTCGATTCCCCGGCGCGGCGSTGCGGCCGTGCAGCCACAAACCTTCCTCCAGGCGCTTTCTGAGGAGAAAGCGCTCCATGAGCGCAGCTGAGGAGCCACGAAGCTACAGCCAGAGCATGGCTGTCCGGCTGTGTCCCCACCCCGTGCCCCAGGGTGGCTGTTAGCCCAGGAGGAGCAGCCCGGGCTCTCCCGKGGCACCGCGGGGCCGCCCCGGCGCGGTCTCTGATAACCCGGTGTTTGCACAGGCRGGTGCCCCGGCGCTGCCAGACCCAGCTCCTGGCAGCGCCCTCCTTCCCTGRGGACACGCGACCCTGCGCTGCTCTGGGTACCTGTGCCACCTGYCAGGATAAAGGCAGGAGCGCGGCACCGCGTCCTCGGTGCCCTTGGATGCCGGTGGCGTGGGTGACATTGCCAGCGCCCAGAACKGCCCTCCCTGYCGGCACGGGGTGCCACAGCCGAGCKGGCGATGCTGTGCCAGGACKCKCAGCCCTGCGCTGCGCCGGTGGCTGGGGAGGGACATCCCTGTCCTTGTCCCCTCTGCCCCCCGCTGGACCCCACTCCCTCCATGCAGCCCCTCCCGGCCCCGCCGCTGCCCGAGCACGGTGCTGGAGTCAGACAGACACCAGCGGACCCCAACTGCGGGTGCTGGGGTCCCACTTACCCCCTGCCCAGCCCCGGGTGCCCCCGTTCCCGCTCGGGGCCGGCAGCGGCTGATTTGGGCACGGACGCGGGTGCGCTGCGGCTGCCAGGCCGTTGTGCGTTTCCGGGCAGGTGAGCGGAGCCTGTTTTACCGTGGGGCTGAGCCAAAGTCCACAAGGGATGCCAAGGAGCCGGGAGCACTCCACGCCCGCCGCAGGGCGTGTGCTGGCACCTGGGCTGGCACCGGGCAGCGCCGGGGCCCCACCGCCCGAGGGAAGAGCCCTGCAATCCTGGCCCGGGGCAGAAACAGGATCTGCATCAGCCTGGGGTTGACCAGAGACCCACAAGCACCTGGTGATGGGATCTGAAGGGTCCTGACYCCATTCTTGACCCTTGAAATCTGAGCTGCCATGTCCCCTTTACCTGGGCAGTACCACCCTACATCCCTTTCCTCCCAGCAATCCCGGTTCCCACATCCTGTGCCCATACAAGGGAGGGGCAGCAGAGCCCACCCCGAATATCCCCATCCCAAACCGTCCATCCTCACCCTCCCAGGATCCCCAGCCCCGCCCAGCCTCCTCCCACCCATYGCTGGCTCCAGGCTGGTTGTTCACACAGTTTATTTGCTCGGTTTGGGTGTTTTACAAACAACGGGGTGGGGTGAGGTGGGGATGGGATGGGGAAGGGAATTCAAACGGCTTCGGCACAAGTGAAAAGCTCGGGGGCACGGGAAGTGCACTTCAGCGGAGCCGGGCGGGGCACACGGGGGTGTGGGATGGGGTGGGGACGATGCCGGGCCCACCGCCCCTTCCTCTCACCCCCCAGCCCCGGCCCGGGGGTCTGGTCCTGCTCCCCACCCCCCTCAGGGGCCGGGTCGGGCTGGGGGTCAAAGCCAAACGAGGGGCAGGGGGTGCCAGGGGGGCAGGGGGATCGCGGGTGGGGTGGGGTGGGTGGTGTTGGCCCCTGACGTGGGGTGGCAAGAGGTGACATTCCCCCAGGACAATGGGGACAGGTGCCCTGTGGCACCCAGCCCGTGCCCTGCTCTGCAGCAATGGGGCTCCAGCGATGCCCAGCAGTGGAAGGGGCAGGAGAAGCCCCCCCTTTGCCCTGGCAGTGCCATCCCAACCCCCCTTCCCCAGCTCTGCCTCACCCAGATGGGGCTCRGGACTGGGGTGGCACCACCAGCCCCCCCTCCAGCCCTGCAATGACTCTACTGGGGGGAAAATCACAGCCTGGGTGGGAACTGGGGGGCAACTGGGATGGCATGGGGACATGGGGAGGGGKTGTCACTGCTCACACAAGGGGAATGTGGGGGAAGGAACGCCTTGGGGGAACTGAGCCCCACCCCTGGCTGCTCTGTCACCAGCGTCCTGCTGGGCTGGGCAGCGTGGATGCTGCTTCACACGTTTTTGGGGGTCCCTGGGGGCTTGCCCAGCCTCACAGGGGGAACCTTCTCACACTCAGACAAGGATCCCTACACTGGCTGATGGCTGCAGCCTGCCCGAAGCTCCTGGACCAGTGTCTGGGCACTGCCAGCCCGGCTGCTGCGGCTCAGGGCCAGCTGATGTGGGCAATGGGTACCAAAAGCTGCGAGGCGCCCCCCACGCCTGCCCCAGTTGGTCTCAGTGGGGAGGAAACGCTGGTGCTGGTGGTGAAATCCCCACTGAAGGGCTGGGGTGCGGGGTGGGGCAGCAGGGAGGCTGCCCTCGGTGGGACACCAGACCCCTGGGCAGCTCCCAGTGCCGCTACTGGGGTGAACTGGGGTGAACTGGGCTGCCCCACTCCCCTGGGGGACCCAACGCTGCAGCCCGGGACCCCAGAACGCGGCTCTGCAAAGCTGCTGCTGCCGAGCTGTGGGCGCAGGAAGGGGACAGGATGCTGGGCCATGCTCCTGCTGCCACGAAGGACCCTCACCCCATTCCTGCCCCACAAGGCTGAGTCCTCCAGGTCCCCTTCCCTCGCTGCCATCGCCCCAGGAGGACACGGGCACTGGGCACAGCGCAGTTCGGCCCCATCGGCTGGCAAACCCAGTGGCACCAGCCGGCAGCCGAGGCAGAGGAGTGGCTGTCACTGCCAGCACCAGAGTGAGGGGCTCCCGGGAGGAGCAGAGCAGGCCTGGGGACCCTACAGGAGCCTGGGTGGCCCCAACCATCACCACAGCCGAGTATCAGGGAGTGGACGCTGCCCTCGCAGCCCGTCCCTCGCCGGACACGCTCCGTCCTTGAGGGCTCGGGGAGCCCGGGACCGCGGGGATGAGGATGTGAGATGGAGCAGAGATGTCCAGGGGCAGCCAGGGGGGACAGACYCAGGCTTTTCCCCGCTGGAGAAGCRGATGATGRTGATGGAGGCACAGAGRGAAGGGCTGGCACGGGGCTGGGCCGGGCCAAGAGCGGCTCCCACGGCTGCCGGCTCCCGGGGAGTCATCTACGGACACAGTGTCGTCCTCCGATCCCCTGCCCGGCGGCTCCGTCCTCCGGCGGCGGGCGAGGCGATGGCGATGGCGGTGACGGTGGCGGTGCCGGTGCCGGAGGGAGCGGCCCCGGTGTCGGCGGCAGGCGGGGACGAGGGGGGTCACTAATAAATACCACAGGCAGCGCTGGTTGGGGGGCGGCGCGGGGCCGGTGTGGGGCGGACGGGGCCCGCCGCAGCCCCCTTGGCACCATGTTGGATCTCCCCGGTTCTGCAGAAAGAGGGGCCGTGTCCGGTGGAAGGGGGGAGCCCGGCGTGAGCAGGGGCCGGGGCGGAGGGGGCTCGGCGGGGGCTCACATCACCGTGCAGCACTTGCAGCGCTGCTTCTTCGCGTCTGTCTCCTGCTCGGCCTCCTTGGCGTCCGTGGCGTTGGCGCCGGGCTTCTGCCCGCCCGCGCCCTCCTCGCCCAGCGGCTGCGCGGCCGCCGGCTCCAGCGCCGTGCCGTTGGGCGGCGTGTGGTCCTTGTGCGCCGGCTCCGGCTTGCTCTCGGCGTCCTCGATCACCACCAGCTCCGCCTTGATGGTGCCCTCCAGCCCCAGCACCTTCTTGGTCTCGTTCTCATCCTCCACGTTCTGGTAGCCCATGAAGATCATGGTGACGGGCTGCTCCGTCCCGTCGCCCGTGGCCGCCGTGCCGCTGTCCCGCGGCTTTGCCTGAAGCCCGGTGATCTCCCGGCGCGGTGTSGGTTTCTGGCTGCCCGGGCCAGCCTTGGCCGGGGTCTGACGCCCGGCGCCTTCGCTCGCCTCGTCCGCCTTGTGSAGGAGCTCGTCCACCTCGGAGGAGCTGAGCGGGTGGGCTCCRTTCTGCAGGGCTCCGTCCTCGGCGGTCACCGCGTGTACCACTGCGGGGACAAGAGGAGGGAGGGTGAGGGGGGTGAAGGATGGGGGCACAGGGTGACCACCCACTCAGCCCCGTGGTCAGGGGCAGCCCCTTCCCCTCTCCAAAGCTCCTGTACAGAGGCTGGGACCCCCCAGCATCCCAACCCTCCCCTCAGCAGAGCTGCTGCCAGATCCCCTCTCGTCACCTGGCTCCTGCCCCACAGCAGCCACGGAGACCGAAATAAAAGCCCAGCTCGAGGAGCTGTTCCCGAAGCCTCAGGCTCGGCGAGCCCTGCGGGAGCCGTGGCCACTTGCCAGGTCACCGACAGCCGGCCAAGCTGCCCGTGGTGGGACAGYGTCGGCTGGCGCCCGGCTCGGCCGGGGCTGACGTGACACTGTGCCAGGTCACCGCTGCCACCTCTGAGACCCCAGCCATGCTCGGCCAGTGCTGCSCCRCMGTGTTCCCCCCACCTCCTGCCACGCCCGCCAGGACCRTTGTCCCCRTTGTCCCCGTTGTCCCCGTTGTCCCCGTTRTCCCYGTGCCCRGGGGAGYCRGGGCTTTCCCCCCCAGCCAGGCTGTCCCAGCTGCTCGTGGCGCTGGACATGGAGATGTGAAGATGTGCGTCATGGCCGGAGTGGCCAAGGGCTTGTTGTGCTTTCCACTTGACCCAGGGCATGGTGTGATGGTCAGTGCAGCTCCCTCAGTGGGCAGCCAGTGAGTGAGGGACAGTGACAGTGACCAGGGCCAGCACGGCCACAGGGAGGGGGTTGAACAGGAACACTGTGCTGTGTTTTCCTTGGAAAGGCCGTCGGTCTGCTCAGCCACCACAGCTCCCAGTGAGACGCCCCAGTTCATAGCTGGTCCTTGCCACCACGATGGTCCCTTTGGGTTTCACCAGGCCCTTCGGAGCAGGTTCCCAGATGTTCCCAAAAGTGGGAGCTGCACACAGGGATCAGTCCCTGCTGTTGTGCTCCCCAGTGCCAGACTGTGGGACAGCCCATCGTGGTGCTGGTGCTCATTCCCTGCCCGTGGGACAGCCCATCGTGGTGCTGGTGCCCATTCCCTGCCCGTGGGACAGCCCATCGTGGTGCTGGTGCCCATTCTCTGCCCGTGGGACGGGCTCCCAAGTCTTGGACACGACAAATCCTCTTCTCTGCTCTCCAGAAGTGCAAGGTCACGATGTGCAAACCAGGGCTGGCCCATCCGGACCATCCCCACCACGCTGCCAGGATGATCCTGCGCTCCACCAAACTGGGACCGGTGAGGGATTGCCCTCAGAGGGCTGGGAAGGCCATCAGGAACAGCCCCCACACTTCCTCACCCCGCTGSGTGCCCGCTGGGATGTTCGGGTGGCCGCTCCCTCGTCCCCTGCCCAGCACTGGCCACCGGCCACCAGCSCGTACCTTTGGTCTCATCCTCGTACACTTTGACCCCCTGCAGACAGTGGTTCTGGGGGAGCATGGTGGTGCTGGACAGGACCTTGGTCTCCCCAGTCACTCTGTCCTTTTCCACTGTGATCTCCACCGAGTACATGGCTGGGACACAAAGAGGACAGCGCGCGTTACGGCCGCCCCTCCCCTCCCTCGCTCTGCGGCTGGACGGCGTGTGGCAGCAGCGCTGTGGTGCTCAGCAGGGCTCAGAGGTGCTCAGCAGGGCTCAGTGGCGCTCAGAGGTGCTCAGCAGGGCTCAGAGGTGCTCAGCAGGGCTCAGAGGTGCTCAGCAGGGTGCTCAGCAGGGCGCAGCGGGGCTCAGCGGTGTTAGCAAGGCGGCAGCGAGGAGCGGTGAATGGCAGAGGCGGGTGCGGCATCCCTGGCACATCCCTCCTCCCGGGACCCGTGGGGCCGTTGCCATCCTGGTGCTGCTGGCATCCCCTTACCTCCACGGCTGCTGGGGTTCTCGGGCTGAGCCGTGTCCATCTGTCCGGCCAGTTCTGGCCGTGGGGGCCGGGCTGGGAGCCGGCTTCATGCTCACGGAGGCTCAACCCCCACTGATGGTGCTGGTGCTGGGACAGCCCCTCTGCCCCCRCGGGATGGGCAATCCTGGGCATCTYTCCTTCCACTCCTGGCCAGTCCCTGCCAGCAGCGGGGTCCCCTCAGCCCTGTGCTTTGCTCCGAGGATCCCAAGACGGGCTCTGCCCCATGTTGGTGCCACGGTCTGGTCTGAGCCATCACCCCAAACCAGAGCAAACCCCTCCAGCAGCAGAGGCGGCCGCAGCTCCCCCAGCTCAGGCAGCGTGGCCCCACGTGCCCCGTAGCACACATAGGGTCAGCCATGCCSGCAGCTGACCCTCAGCTCCCTCGCCCCTGCGCAGAGAAGCCGAGAACAAGAGCGGGAAGGATGAAACCGGAGCAGAGACGTGGCACGGGGCTGAGGCAGAGGGGCCCTGAGCCACGAATCAACCGTGGGGCGGAAGCAAAACCAAACCCTGTGATTGCAATGACGGCTGTTCTGTGCCCTGGGCTTGGAAAGGCATCGAGCGGCACKGCGGGGAGCGGCTGTGGTGGTGGCAGCGAGCCGAGGGCGGTGCAGARGGGACGGGGAAGCAGCCTGGAAGGAGCGCTCCTCCCCGGGCAGTGGGCACCTACCCGCCTTCATCATGTCAGTGCCTTCCACTGCCTTCATGGGGCTGCTGGAGAGCCTCTTGTCGGCTGGAGGTGGAGAGGAGACACGAGCGCCTGAGCCAAAACCAGTGCCTGCCCGGTCATCCGTGTGTGCCCGTGGGTCAGGCCCCAGGGAGGGCTGTGTGTCCCCCCGTGGCCRGTGCCCGGGAGGGGACAYGGGGACAGGGCAGTGTCTGGCTGTCCCCACCCGTGTGGCCCCAGCAGGGAGCGATTGGCGCTGAACCGCGGCTGAGGGGATCAGGATTCACCTACCCTTTACTGTGCCCAGGGGACTCTGCAAAACAGAAGGGAGAGGTTATAGAGCTGCTGGCACYCTCCACGGCCCCGCTGCCCACCCATCCCCGCCAGGGCAGGGACCCCGAGCCCGCTGCTGGCRGCCCTGCCCTCACCCAGCAGCCGTGCCCACCTTCTTCACGTTGGGGACGGCCTCAGCCTTCTCCTCCTTGGCCGCCTCTGCCAGGTTCTCCTTGGTGGAAGCCACGGAGGTGCTGTTCTCCAGCGTCTCCAGCTCCTTCTCCAGCCTGCAGGGAGAGACAGCGCTGAGAGGCCGAGGGGAGCTGCGCTCTCAGGGACAGAGAGCCGTGCTGCAGGCGGCCACAGCAGACTTGTGAACGCGAGCCAGCGACACGGGGCAGGGGACAGAGGCACAAATCATCCCCTGGGCTCATGAGGTGCAGGGACAGATGGAATCTGGCACTGCTGTCGCTGTCTCTTTGCAGGGGGAAAGCCACCAGGCATCAAGTGGGTGGCAGAGACCCTTTTTTGGGCACCGGGCAGGGGCACCAACCCTCCCCCCGCCGTGTCCTTGGTGGCCGGAGCGACGCTGTCCGGTCATCATTCCGCTCCCACACATGTTGCCCAAAACCCGGCTGAGCTTTCCGCGAGTGCAGCCTGCTGTTCCCAGCCACCAGCCGGGCAGCACAGCCCCACCGGGATGCAGGAGACRTCCAGGGAGTCCCCAGGCACTGGCGCGGCGGCAGCTGCCCCCGGCAGAGCTCCCCCGGGCTCCTCGCTCGGCGCCGGCCGAGGAATGCACCGCGCCATTAGCCGGACACAAAGGGCCCTTCGTGCCTGACCCCTCGCTGCACCGATGCTCGGTAATTAGCGGCACCGCCGTGACTGATTGCATTCCTGCTGCGCTGCCGGGACACCTCCGAGCCGGGGCTGCGGGCCCCCGCCTGCGGCTGCTCGGGGACGAGGGGGTTGGGCAGGGGATGAAGCATCTCCCTCTCAACCTCCCCTCGCTGTCCTTCCCAAGGGCTGAGCCACCAGGGTGGGGACAGTGTGTGTGTCCAACACATGGGACCCAGCTGAACCTCAGCACCCCCACCCAGGGGTCTCTGGAGGGACACGGGTGCTSTCTACCTGCACCCCAAGATCCGGCCCCGTTACCTCTGGATGGAYTCCTCCAGCTCCTTGGTCTTCACCTCATCCTCCTGCATCTGTTTCTTCATGGCCTCTTCCTCCTCGGAGGCAGAAGCCGGAGCCCCCTCCAGGAGCCATCTCTCCCGCAGAGCCTTGGACTGGGGAGCAGAAAGGGGGTCACAATCCTGCTCTCCCCCCGGCCGGGGGCTCCCCAGCGCAGAGGACGCCCGGGGAGAGCAGAGCTCACCTTGAGATGCTGCAGCTGCCGCCTGTCATCCTCGAGCTGCCGCCTTTTGTTCTCGATCTCCGTCTGACGCTTCCGCTTCTCCTGCAGGGACGGGAGCGGTGGGGCCGGGGTCGGCGTGGGGAGGGGGTGGGCACCGGGCATGGCCGGGCAGGGAGGAGCGGGGCCGAGGGGCAGCGAGACCSGGAACACCCCACGGCAAGCCTGGTRTSACGTCCCTGCCCTCTCTGGGACAAACTGAAGCGCTGAGGGTGCAGAGAAATCGGGGGCAGAGCCTGGGCTCTGTTCACCATCTCAAAATGTCACCTTCCCCTCGGCCGGCCCCACTGAGCGAGCTGCCAGCGCGGGGGGGAACGGCCCCCGCGGCCTCTACCTCGCCCCCCTCTCCCCGCCACCCGTCCTGGGGCTGCTCCAGATCATTTCAGCAGAGTCAGACCCAGCCCGGACGCGTCACCCGGCGCTTTCTCCTCTGGTCCAGAACAATTTGCCCTTTGTGCGGCGGAGATCGGCCGCTTGCCGGGCTGGGCTGGGCTGGGCTGGGGTGGGCAGTGGGGCAGGGATGGGCACAGGGGCTGCTGTGGGGCAGCAGTGGGTTCAACCAACGCAGCGCCCTGTTCTGTGCTGGGAGGGGCTGTTCGACCCCCGACTGCTCGCTAATTAATGTAATTATGAGTGCCCATGGTGGGTGCTGGATGGCACCATCCTCAGCTCTTCCTGGGGAAGGAGGAGGGGGGGAATCATCACTCATTTCCCTCACTCGGGGCTCGTCAAGGCGCTGCTTCGTTAATTAAACCTCCCAGCTGCCTGTTGCTCGCTCTGTCCCTGTTTCAACCACACAGCCACGCCACGCTGGCTGTGACACCCCAGGAGGAGCCATCACAGGCACAATCTAGCGTGGGTCATTCCGAGTCCTTGTCCAGCAGCTGGGGACCCCCGGGATGGGGAGAGTCTGTCCCCTACACCCTTCTCCCCGCTGGTGTCTGCCCTATGTGCTGCAGGTGACAGCACGGGGATGTGGGGACACTGGCCTGAGAGAGGACACTGGCCTGAGAGGTGACACTGGTCTGAGAGGTGACATTGGCCTGAGAGGGGACACTGGTCTGAGAGGTGACATTGGCCTGAGAGGGGACACTGGCCTGAGCAGGGACTCACCGCGATGGCCTGCAGCCTCTCCTGCTGAAGGGTGCTGGCCTCCACGACCCTGCAGAGATCAGAGAGCAGCAGTGAGGGGTGGCTCCAGCGGCAGGTGACCGCGACAGTGCCCAAACACCAACCCAGACGCCATGGCACACGAAGGGTCAACCCTTCCCTTCCAYCGGCTGTTTCCTCCTCACTTCCCTGGAGCCTGCACGGCTCCTCCGGGCACCCCTTGACCCCTGTCCTGCCCAATACCCCAGGACAGGCACCTTGCCCAGCACCTGGAGGATCCTCTCACCCTGACCCGCTCCCACCGTGGCGCAGATGGAAACCCTGACCACGGAGGGGTTGGAGCAGGACGTTTCTGGCCAACCCTGCGTTCCAATCTGGCTCACGCTTTCCATTCCAAGCCCGTTTCTTGGCTGCTGACACCTTTCCCGGACGGTGACCTTTGCGGGCTGCGCGCACAGGCACACGCACGCACACGTGCACAGACACACGCATGACACACGCATGACACACGTATGACACATGCATGACACACGCATGACACACACATGACGACAGGCTCTGCTCCCAGTGGCATCCGTATTTCCGAGCCCAGCACCTGCCCCTGCAGCACGGCTGTGCCGGGAATGTCGCCTCTCTGGCCCCGGCACAGCTTTCCCGGCTCGCCCAGCCCCCGGAGCGCTGCCAGGAGGGTTCATCCCTTATCCCCCATCCCCACAGCCACCTGCCCACCCACCCGCGTTCCTGTGTCCCCAAGGTGCGGTGACACGGGCCAGTCTGACCAGCAGCAGCCCCCGGGGCCTGGCAGGAGCCCCCGCGCCGCCGAGCGCCAGGTGCGGTTCAGCGCCGGGAGGCTCGGACCGGGATGCTCCAGCGCCACAGGAGCTGCTGGCCGCTCGCCAGACGGTGCTAACGAAGTGCTTAGCTGTGGCGCTAATTAGGGTGGGAGGCTCTGAGGTATTGTCAGGCGATGGATCATCTCCGCTCGCTCGCCGGAGCAAGGGGCAGAGGTGGACCCGGCGCGGTTTGACAAGGATGGTTTTACACGCGGGGTGGGTTTTGGGGTGCTGAGGCACACATGTGACATCCCTCTCTGACCTCACACGCGTGTCCCCTCGCACGGGCTCCCCGCTGGTTTTGCCACAACTCAAACGGGGCTCTGTAGGGTGAGAGCAACCCCTGCCCCCGCCCGCTCCCTCCTCAAAGCCAGCAATTAACCGGGAGCCGCTCAGAGCCGCCGTCCTCCCCTCACCCCGCACCCTGGGGATCCCTGCGATGCGCAAAAAAAAAAAAATCCAGGCCAGGAAAACAAACGGGGAAGGTGTCGCTTTTTGTGGTGGTTATTTTCGTGCTGTTTGCAGCGACGCCGCGACTGTTCCGCCGGCGCAGGCGCACGGTACCGCTCGTGTCCCGTGTGTTCCTCGCCAGCCCCACAGCTCTGGGGCTGCCCTTCATCGTGGGCTCCCTCCCGGTGTGGGGCCACAGGTCCCCTCAGTCCGGCTCTTGGCATCCCGCACCCGCAGGGCGTTGAACTGGGCCCCTTTTCTCTCCTGGATCTTGCCCTGTTCGACGGATCCAAACTTTTACAGCATTCCTGAAACATTCTGTTCTGCTTTTCCTCCCTCCTCCATCCTCTTTTATTTTCCATTATTTGCTACAGTCTCCACATTCCCAGGTCAGACGCCAGGAAATCTTCCTGGCCCAGGGAGAGACGCGGAACAGGCTGGGTGCCCCTCGCTGCAATCTCCCAGCCCGCTCAGCCCCTGCCCTGGGGRCTCTGATCCATCGAGGAGGGGCTGAGCGGGGACCACCGCCACACCCGCACTCCCTGCCCGCTGGGACTGGGCTATGGGGTGGAGATGAGGGGTCTCACGCTCTCCAACAGCCCCATCCCGCCCGTTCTCCRGGGCTCGGAGCGATGGGGCCCCGCTGCCGCCGGCCCTGGTGACTGATGGAGGCGGCTCCCTGGCAATGGTTCCCTGGCAACAGTGCCATGGCAACGGCGCCATGGCAACGGGCGAGCGCCGAGGGGATGCGGGGGGATCCGTGTGGCGACYGAGGAGCCCCTCGGGGCTGGGGCGCCGCTCCCCAGGTCTGGAACCCCGGCAGCACCGGCGGGACAAAGCCGTGGCACCACCGGGGTATCTAGGGGTTCTGGTGCTCCCGGGTGTCAGGAAGGGTGGGAAGGTGATCCCGGGGCCACCGAGCTCCTCAAGGGCCACCAACCCGGACGAGGAGCAGGGACATGGGGGATGATGGCCCGGGGGCTCCCAGCAGCAGCCCCCCACCCCGGGCTGGACCCACACACACGTGTGAGCGCACACGCACCCCCTGCACACACCCGCACTTTCTCTTGGCTCTCCAGCTCTTTCCAGCCCTGCTGATGCTGCCGTTTCCCACCATCACAAGGGAAGCCCGTGACCTTTTGTCTCCTCCCGCCTGACATGAAACAATAATGTTTATTTGCCTTCCTCTGTTTTTTTCCCATTAGCTCATCCAAATGTGCGAAAGAGCCGTTCCGAGCTGCTCCTCTGCTCCCCTGACCTCCGCTCCCTCCCCACCCTCTCGGCTCCAAACTGGGAGAAGGCAGGAGAATGCCCCGCACGGGCACCACCCCCGAGCCGAGGTGGGGCTGCAGGGCCGGGGGTTGTGGTAGAGGCAGCAGTGCAGGATCCAGCGCTGATTTTACAGCCCCGTTCCCATGCCAGGAGCCGGGCCCGGAGTGACGCGGCCGCGGGGAGGCTGCAAAGCTCTGTCACAAAGCCATTAACAGCGCGGCCGGGATCGAACGCTCCCGATGGCAGGCGCGGGAGGGAGGGGAGGGGGCTGCAGCCGCCCCGGGGGCTGCCACGCATCGACCACCAAGGCAAATTCATCGGTGGCAGCCAGAAATCCGCGAGGCTGAGGGTCCGGACCCTGCTCAGGTGCTGCTGGACCCTACCCCACGGTGCTGCTGCCTCCCCCCGCTGCTGCTGCATCGCCCCAGCGCTCATCCCACTCCTTCCCAGCGCTCCCGCTGCCTTCCCAGCGCTCCCACTGCCTGCGCAGCCCCAGCCATCACCGCTGCCCGGGGAGGGGACAGGGACGGAGGGAGGCGGGGGGAGGAGATGGCAGCCCCAGGCTCCCGAAAACGCAGATGCATTAGAGCAAGCGGAGCTGCCTGATTGATTCTCCGGGCTGAGACGTGGGCTGGGAGTGCCAAGAGAAAATGGATCCCATGAATATTTGATGAACGGAGGCTCGGGGAAGGAGTTTGATTGGAAAATTACAGATCTTTCAAACAATGGTTCAAGTGCCCTCCAAACACTTGGGTTTCCAGCTCCCTCCCAGTTAGAGGAGCAAGGCTCCACCAGGAAACTCCCACCATTATTCATGAATGAGAGCGGAGCCGCTCCCCACACCCCGGACGGGCAGTGCTGGCACCGGCCAGGATGTGGCACCTGTCCCCTGTCACCAGCCATCCTTGGCTTCCTGCTCTCGTGTGGCAGAGAGAATGGCAATGCCACCAACACAGGCACACACGAGGTTCCAAGGARCCAGCAGGAACGTGGATCCCATCACAGGCACCCCCGTGAGCCCCGACATTCCTGGGGAGCTCAGTCCTCAGCGCCAAGCCCGGGGGCTGGGCCCAACCCGCGTCCAGCCCTGCTCCTTCCCGAAACACCWGTCTGGGGCAGGATCCACCCGGCTCCTCTCCCTCCTCCGGGCTCATCCTTGCTCCCGACGGTGCCTCCTGTCTGGGACCTGGGGGCTGCTTGTCTCTGGATGGGGTGAGGAGGCTCAGGAATCTGGGCTGTGCCTCCAGCCCCGATCCCGGCGCTTCCACTCAGCAACACACGGCACCTCCTCGGCTTTCCTCCGGCATCTCCACCGCTGGAGCCCCAGCCTGGCTCTCAGCACAGCTCCCAGCACAGCCCCAGCCATGTGAACGCCCACCCCCCTGGGGAAAGGGGCTGTTTCTGGCCAGGAAGCAGCGACGCCAACACCGGCGGCTTCCCAGGAAAGCTGCTCCGGTTCCTCCCAGCCGGGCAGGTCCAGCCGAGAGGCCCCGTGGTGCGGCTGAACTCTGAACCCCACGAGCAGGGCTGGGCGCTCTTGTGGGGCCACCTGTGCTGGAGTTTTGTGGCCTCTCTGGGCGGGCTCGAAGGGTGACAGTGCCATTCCTGYGGCTGCACACGGGGACAGGATGGGTCTGACCCTTTCTGTTTCCTTGCACGTGGCTGGGAGGCAGCGGGGTCTGGCTTGGGTTTCGCTTCTCCCTGGATGTCAGCAAGGCCTTGAGTGCCTCCCCAAAGGACTCAGGGGTTATTTCTCAGGCAGAAATGTCTCTCTTTCCCCTGGGTAAAACTGTCAGCTTTGGATTGGGGTTGAGAAGGCACGACTGGGAGAGCCCTTTCTCCGAGGAGACCCTCAGAGGGAGCAGCAACCGAGACAAACCACGAGAGCAGCCAGATGTGAGATGCAGGAGCACCAGCTGCTCCCCAACACGGGCAGCAGCGAGAGCAGAGGGCACACAAACAGCTCCAGTGGGACCAGCACGGCCTTTACCAAAGCTGGAAGGTTTCCCCCAAACCTCCCCGGGCACCAGCGGGTTGTGGCAGCCAGGACCCTCCTCCAGCCACGGCCGGTGCCAAGGCAGAGCTGGAGCCAAGGCAAAGGCAGCAGTGCCCGCCCCAACACCCGTTGGCTGCCGCAGAGCCGGGCCAACAGCGGGGCAACGCCTCTCCATGTCCCCAACTGCCCCAGGACCCCCCTAATCCTCCCAGCCCCACGGCCAGGCTCTGGCTGTGCTCCCCACCATGGCTCAGTCACAGAGTTTCACTCAAAATGAGGAGACATTGGCAGGTCCAGTGCCTGGATGTGGTTGGGGGAGGGTTTTACACCCCTCCTTGGGCTCTTTGGCCCTTGTTGGGAGGGTCAGTCTGAAGCGGGGTGAACGGCAGCGTGTGGAGCCCCTGGGCARGAGCCACCACCCTGTCCAACACCATCCCCCACCTCAACCCCAGCCCCAGACTGCTCTGCCCCAGGAGAGCCCRAGCTCAGCCCGACAGCTCCTCACCCCCTCCCCAGGGCACGTCACACCCCTCGGCTCTGCCCTTCCCCTCGCCGCTGCCTTTTGGCACATCACASGCGTTTTCCTCCCCAAAGAGGCTCTTTCCTGCAGGGACTGAGGCGCCGTGGGGCTGCCCGGAGCTGTGGCTCTGCTTTGTCCAGCAGCACGGGGAGCCACTGTGCTTCCCCAGCCCTGCAGCTGCTGCACCCCAATCTCCAAAACATCCCTGCATCCCCAGCTCAGTTCCAGCCCCAAATCAGCCAGAGCCCACCCTGGCCCCAGGACACCCTCACCCCTCCCCACTGCCTCAAGGCCTCTCGGGGTGCCCAGGGGGGAGGCAGGTGGTGATGAGAGGGACCTGTTGAGTACCCCTTGTCTCGGTAGCCACTGGTAAATGATCAGTGCAAGGTGAGGGTGGCTGGTCCAGGGCTGGCTGGRTGCCCCAGGAACCCCCCAGTGCCAAACCCAGGCGGGGTTTGGGGTGTTCACCAGGCAGGGACCAGAGCCACGGGAGGGAAAGAAAGGCCTGGGTGAGACTGGGCCAGARCTGTTGGTGTCCAGCCCAGCTGTTGGTGTCCCCGAGGGGCAAAACCAGCACACAGTCCGTGGCCACAAGCCCCTGGCGGCCTCAGCCTGCTCCAGCCTTCCCCCACCCGCCCGGCTCCCGGCGGCCGGGCAGGGCCCCAGCGCAGCACACAAAGGATGAGGCCGGGGTCGGACAGTGTCCATCTGTCCRGACTTGTCCGGCGGGACCCTCTTCACGCGGATCCCCCTGGCCACAGCCGGGTCCCTGGGCAGGGGCTGGGGGGGGACAGCGCAGGGAGGGGTCCGCAGCTCTCGCCACCCACTCACCCCACCACACGCAGCAGCAACAACAGGTTCAAAACACAAAAATAAACGCCCTCCCCACCCCCCGCTTCCTGCACCGCTGCCAGCCCCGACACCCCCCCGCACCCTCCGCAGCCCCCGCACCCACACCGGAGCCTCTGCTGCTGCCCCCCGAGCCGGCGCTCCAGCACCCCACGGCGGGGCAGGGACCGGGGAGGGGCCGCACCTGCTGAGCGGCACCGGGGGGAAGGAGGCCCCGGGATCGGGGTGCCGAGCCCCGGAACTAAGGGGATGGGAGCCCCCGGTATTGGGGTCCTGAGCCTCAGGATCTGGCAGGATGTGAATCCCCAGTTTTGGGGTCACAARCCCTGGCATTGGGGGGATGCGAGCCCCACCCCCGGTTTTGGGGTCCCAAGCCTCAGCATAGGAGGGATTCAAACCGCCAATATTGGGGTCCTGAATCCCCAGAATCAGGGGGATGCGAGCCTCGGATTTTGGGGTGCTGAGTCCCCAGGAGCAGGGGGATACGAGACCCCAGGTTCGGATTGCCCAGCCCCGGTATCGGGGGTGTGCGAGCCCCCGGTACGCGCTCCGCGAGCCGGCGGAGCGAGCTTCCCGCAGCCCCGGTGCGGGGGTCCCGAGCCCCGGCCCCCGCTCCCCGCTCCCCCCTCCCCGGTACTGCGGTCTCGGCCGGCGGGGCCGGGGGAAGCGCGGCCCGGTGCC